ACCTTTATATAATAATACATAATATATGATATATGTCATACCCAGACGTTCATTATGCGAATAAGAGATATTAACGCGCGTGTGTATGTTATAAATTCAATAATAATATATAATATGTAAAGGTATCTTAAAGGTATCTATAAAATGTGTATTTTACTAGGGATAGCAAATCCATGATACGTGAATAAATTCCGGCGGCCTCTCTCTCCAGACACCGCGAAATGCCCAAAGGCCCCAAAGAGCGATGCCGCCCGTGACCGAGATTCGAACCGACGCCTTAGTCCGCTCGGCCACTCCACCCCCATTTATATTATTATATTATATATAAATTATTTTTATTTTTAATAACATTATAATGTGGAATTTTAAATTGTAAAATCACATTTAGAATATAAATAATTAGCGGAGTAATGATCTATGTGCCTAACCTAACCTTTTTTATATTAATACGTTAGTCATACGATAAAATTACGAACATTTTTTTTCACAATTTAAAGTCACGAYAGAAAAAAAAGTAATTTTGGCAAGTAGAATGCAAAACGCAATATATAATTTATTAAATATCGGTTAGCAGACAATTATTATTGTTCAAACCAGTTATACTGCAACGTTAAATATTATATTATTTATGACTACCAGCCAGCGGTTTTTATTATACCAATCATTTGGTCCTATAATATAAAATCCTTAAAAAAAACCTATTACTTTTTATGTTTCTGCATATAATATACATACATCACCGTCTTATCCTCCAGCAAGGGTAAGGTAAGGGAAGAAAACGTTATCGGGTTCAATTTGATAATTTATCATCAAAATGTGGTATATAATATTAAATATTATTCCCGAGTTCTATAATATATATACGTTAAACACACATGATAGTAACATATTCTGACTTTTATGTTTCAAATTTATAGATTTCCTGCAGAATTTCACTTTATTTTATCGATAGTGAYAAGACGACATTTGGTACAATTTTACTGGGAAACAAAATGTATATTATCATAGACGTAATGTATAGRAAAAACACGAGTGGACTTATTATATTATAACAGTTAGGGTGCAACAAAAGAAATTTCAAATTTCAAAAAATTAGGAGATGCGCTCATTCAACCTATAGTTTAGTGTCAACAAAAGCGCATACGAGTTGCTTAACACAAAGAGTTCATACCTGCATTATATTTTTTATAATTAAAAACTAAATAACGAAAAAATCGTTTTATATATAGGAATGATAGAAAACAAACTATTATAATTTATAAGCCTGACAACGGAAATTAAGGAAGGTTTTATTTTTATGAGCCGAACGCCGAACATGAATTTTGAATACTTAATAATCTATACTCAACAGATCCTACTATTTGAGTGGAGTGCGTACGCAGTACGCAGTACGAAAATCGATTGGTTAGTTGTCAGAACGTAAAAAGTATACAATCGCATAAACGCTTTCAAGTTTCCCAAAATTTTCAAAATTGTATATAACATCCTTCTGTCAACACCATGAGATTGACTAATACGCAGCAATTGAAGTGTTTCAAAAAGGACATTTCTCCCACATGTGTTCAGTCTATCACCATCATCTAACAAAATATACGTATACAACATACCGAATTTGCGTTCATCAGTACAAATTCTGTGCCATTCGAGCAAATTGAAGTTATGATTCCGCTTCGCAACTATTATAATTTGATCGAGTATCCTTATTGGCCATAACTTACCTTAATTAGGTATCTAGCACCTGTGAATGTACATCATATTATAGACAAATATTGCGGACAACCAAAATGAATATTTTTTTTTATTAGAAATAAACAATCTATACAAGTATGTACAATAAGCTTATGTGCTAAGAGAAGGCAGGACGTGATAAATTGATTAAGAAGCCGCCCACTGACAACACTTGGCATGAATTATTATTAATTTATATATATATATATATTTATTTTTTTGTTTTTTTAATTATTGATAGCTGGAATTTTGTGTATCTATACATAATATATATATATATTGTATATTTTACTTGATAATATTGTGGGAGGTCACGACACCATTTCGTTTTTAGCCTGCGCCTTGGATTTCCTGGGAGAGTTAGAGCGGAGGGGATTTTAATGAGAGGATTTTGGTGGGATGGAAGTCGCATGCGGAAGCGCGAGTAAAATAATTGAGCTTCTTCATTGATGGTTTTCATGTGAAAATCGTTATGTAATGTTAGGTTTGAGACGTACGGTGGTGCATTGGAGAGTCGTCGAAGAGTTAAATACTTTGATTTTTTTGCTGAACCCCTAWACCAAAATGAATTATTTTATACATACAACCTAATGCAATGCACGCCGACGACATTAACACGTTTATATAATTRCATACTGCTGTGTTGCAGGTGAGCAGAATCGTTCCGACACAGGCGCTGGTGGCCGGTGCCATYGTGCTGGTGCCGCTGCTCATCACGGCCGGGCTGTACCTGCGCATCACGTACCAGGTGCACGTGGCCCGGCTGAACCCGAGCTTCAAGCCACCGCTAGCGTTCAACTGGGACTACTCGCTGATGCTGGCCAACGCGTACAGCTTCGTCATGTTCGTCGTGTTCTGGGCGCCRTTCGCCGTCGTCCTCGCGCTGGCCAGCGTCCAGCGGCTGTCCGCTCAGATGTTCTACAACCTCGCGTGGCTCGCCCTCAGCAAGTCGTGCTTCAACAACCTGGTGTACTGCGCCGGCAACCGTCACTTCCGCAACGCGTACGTCAACCTGTTCCACTACTGCTGCTGCAAGACGACGGTGACGTTTTCGCGACGGGCCCGCGACGGCGCCAGCCGCCCGTCCGGTGACGTACGCGTCCACATCATACCCGGCTACAACATGTACTCGTACACCAGCCCCACCAGGTCACGCGAGTCGGGGTCGTGTCCGCTGCAAGGCCGGCCGCGGGCCAGGGCCAACGG